TATTTTGTGTTGTTGACATTCCCGTATATACTTAACGCATGCTCAAAAATCTGTAATTAGCTTAAATATAAGTCTTGTTATTAATATACATGAATACTTTACTAAACCAGCTGTTAAGTTTTCTGTGTTTAAATAAATAAACACTCTCAATTTTTTTTTATAGCGTAATCCGGTAAACTTGCAGACGGATCACCCGATGGTAAGCAATCGGCGCCGCCCATGGACACCCGAAACACCAAGGCGTTACAAGTACGTTATCGGCCTTTTGGGAATTGGGAATTTGAGGATTGTGGAGGATTCGGGGATTCGAGAGACGGGGACTAGGGACGGGGACCATGGTAATTGGGCCTCCGGTAATCTCACTCACACGACGAAACACAACGCAAGCGTTATTTCACGTCGATTTTCTGTGGGGCCGTGGTATCACTCCGGTCGAGCCGGCCGAAGGAAAAGGAAATTCGTGCCGAAGAATACCTCTCCCACACTTAATCAATACATGTATGTCGATATTAGAATATTAGAATTATCATTTTTGAAATTCATCTTCAACTTTAATTATTATCCCTTTATAGACGTCTCTTGAAATGTTATTTAAACTCTTTTTTATTATTTGTACTTACCTTTCATTAACGTTCATTCGCTGGACGCCCTCTAGCAACAATGCACGCTCAACTAAACAATTTAAACTGTTCTAGTGCTTTTAATCATTGGAATTTAAGACCTCGATCTCGGATTGCCACTTCTAGGAAACTGAGTATCGTGGCCAACCTTTTTTATTTTAATTTGAGACACTCACTTATAACAAGCGCAATAATTAAAGTACTTTTACATAAGAGAAATCAATACTTTCTAGAAATATTTTCAAGACTTTTATACTGAATAGGTTACCAAGATTTAAAGCGTGGACAATCACCCATACCCCGAGGTATAATAGGCAACTTATATTAACTAAAATCAGTATCAGCAAATTGTTTACAATGTCTTCATCGTTTTATACAATTGACCAGTATAAGTCCCTACAAATTGGTACACAAGTTTTAAGTAAGGTTGTGATTTGGTCCAACCTGAATTTCGGAATCACATTTACCTTAGTCCTAAAATACTGGTGCAGTTTGCGTATTGTAATGTGAATTTAGAGCTTATAGCAGCTCGTCCGCTTCCCATATCTGCTTCAGTGTGCTATATTTTCCCATAAAGGTACCTACTCATAAATACAAAAACAAGTAGTAAATATGTATTTAAAATATTTCGAAGTCCATAAGTTCCATGACCGAAAAATTCTCAATTTAAAATGCAACCCACGATTTCAATAAAGAGTAAGACATTGAATTTCTAATAGAATTCAAGGAACGAAGATGCTGCATAAAATTTGGAGGTTTCCTACCAGACACCGGACGTTTGGCCATACGATGCCAAGCACAGTCACAGGAAAGTTCACTAACTAATGCAATTAGACACAATTATCTCGGAATTTGGAAGTTTTTGAAGTACATTTTAAGAGTCGCGGGCACTTTATTGCTGCTGTAGAAGCAAGTCTTAAAGAAGAACACGTAGGTGGGTACTATTGCAATTTGTTCGAAGTGAGCTCTTTCTAGTGCTCGTATTTATTTCCTGGGAAGAAATGGCCTCGTGCATTCCCCACCACGTTATTCTGAGAGGAGATTAAACGTCAACATTCTGAACACAGGCACGGTTTATACCTATTATCATATTAACTTGCGTAGATAGCTTGAGCTGTCTGAATAAGTTCAGTTTAAAAGCGATTGCTTTCAGAATTTTCTGAATACATTGTTTAACTGGGGTTATTGTACATTCAGATATTGTATTATTTTGGAGATGCTCAAGGCAACTGCAATTTATTATGCTTTTATTTGATTTTTACATTTTTATTTACATTCATAACCCGAAGAACAAAATATCCAGCTTCAAACAAAGAGATCTTTGTTATTTTTTTGTATTACAGGCATTATATATCCAATTGTATTGAAATATTCGTTTTCAATGGAATAAATCACACTAATATTATAATGGTGTAAGTTTTTGGTTAGGATGTTTATCCGTTTATCACGCTGAAACTACAGAACGTATTTTGATGAAATTATGGTATAAAGGAAGGGAATGGAATGAATTAGGTTGTAGGACCTCTCGATTTTTATCTGGAGTAAATGCTCCGATGGGAATAACAGGAATCACATTCTACCCAGACGAAATCGCGGGCAACAGCTAGTAGTACATAAAGACAAATCAATAATACAAGCAAACAATGATCAACTATTGTGTAACATTATCATTTAAATACATTAACATAAAACAAAATGCATCGTGGAACAATAAACAGAAGGTTTTCTTTTATTTATGGCCAGAATAACTCTTTCTGCGGTTTTGTTGGCTACGTTGTGCAATAATAAATTTACTGAGCATAAATTAAGTACGTCACACGGTTTTTGTTGCAAACCTTTCTCCAAACACCGTCCCAATTTGCGTTAATTTGTTATTTAACGTAATATTTTCTTCAAGAATGTCTGGATGTTCTACGTATGGATGACATGTATGAAGGATTTAATCCTGAGCCAAACAAAATATTATGCAATTTTTTTTGTGGCACAAGACTTTTCCAATCAGGTTTTCCGTAGAGTATTGACGTATCAGAAAACTTTTTCTATGGAACCTAATCCAGTTTCTGTTGTTTAGTATCAATGTTGTTTCTATAGCGATAAATGGTCTATGCGTTTGTTCTTGTAAATCAAATCAAAATTGTGTCATCGGCTTCTACGAAGTAAAAAGCATGATTTTGGATGTAAAAATAGTTTTCATACATTTTCGCGAAAGTAGGATACTACCGATAACTTTTTCTATATAAAGACTTCCAAACTTTGAGCAGGAGCGTTTCAAATAAAAATAATATCAAAAGAACTGTACTATATTTTAAAAAATCACGATAATCAGAATAAAAGCTTTTCATATTTAACACTATCATGGACCCGTAGGCACACGTACTCGTTTACGTAAATTTAAATAATAAAAGAGATACTGGAAAAACAGGTGGAATAAAATAATATTTCCTTTTCTTCGGCGCCAGGGGACGTGGTAAACACCGTAGGTGGCAAAGTATATTGTGTACAATCGAGCAAAGGTACGGTATACTGTACAGGGAAAGTTATCGCGCTACTACGTGGGGAAATAAAGTTCATTTTGATTGTTTCTGCAATGATACGAAACAATGTGTTAATGCAAAATCAGACTGCAATTTTTTTAACACAAGTTTTGGTGCTAATTATTAATTTGTAATTTAAAAACATACCTCTACTATACCTACTAGTTACTACCCACAACTTTGCAGGTGCGAACTATACGTATAAATTTTACTTTTGAATTACTTTATCTAGTAAAAATAATTATATCACAATCTGTTTGGTAGTTTCAAAGGTCTAAGCAGCAGAAAGTGACTTTGTTCTATACTATATTGTGATTATGATTCAGTTGTAGCTCGGAGTCTGGAATTGTATCCAGTATATAGCAATAGGCTGACTCCCTATTACATGGGACTCATAACATAAATAGTGAAAAAACAGGTACATAGAGGTACATTGGCATTAAGTGCCGTAATGTGCACCTTTGCCTACCTCTTCGGGGATAAAAAGGCGTGGTGTTATGTTATGCAATCTACCAGTACAACACGTAACATGGTCGATTGTACTTAAATATTTTTGTTCGCGTACGTGTTCCATACAGCAGTAGTGATGCTTATTTTGTAAATAAAAACATACGGTGTCAGCTGGTTTTTCTTGGAAGTCGTAAAAGTAGAGGAAAGGATAACTCGTGTACGTTTTACGAGGCACCTCCGTTGGCTTCGATACTATGTAGACAAATTACTATTCCGATTTAGGAACGGCGAAGAAGATTACACCTGCGCAAAAAGGAATAAAATTACTTTTAGTAATCTTATTGTGAGTATAACTTTAAGAATTTTTGTCGCAAAACGCAAATAGAGTATTTTTATGATCCTCTATCCAGTTCTGTACAGATAAAAAAATTTTAGCTTTGCCCACTGAACATATAAAGACGGTTTATATGATCTGTGGCTTTGCCAATATCTTTGCTATAGTAACATAACATCACGCCTTTTATCCCTGAAGGGGTAGGCAGAGGTGCACACAGAAGTAATACCCACTTTTCACTATTTATGTTATGAGTCCCATGTAATAGGGGCTATTGCCATATACCGGGCACATTTCCAGACTCCGTGCTACTACTAGGATTTTCTATAGTAGTTCACTTTATAATCTATTCCTTTATAATCGCGTCTTTGTTTTCAAATAGTACTATTATGAGATTGTGGGCTCAGGAAATGGCAGGGTTGACATCTCTTTCGCTATGTAGGTACTATGCTTGATTTGAAATAGCGATGACCTTTGTTTATAAATAGTTAATAGAAGGGATGATATCAGGATAAGAACAAAATTAGCTATGCATATATTTACTGATGAAAACCTTCTAGACCTTCAATAAAAAAACGACCTAAGAGGCAAGTCGAGGAAGTTCGAGGCAGTCAAAACAATACATTTTGTTCCACAAATACTTTCGTTAGATTACAATAAATCTACAAACCACTTATTTATGAAATATACGGTATTATATACAATTATATTTATGGTATTGTCCACGTCCTGACATAAACAAAAACGTTGAAAATAGCAATTATTTCAGTTTAGTTTTATAAAATAAATAAACCACTAAACAGTAAACAGTTTTAAATTTAATCATGAGTAAGCTTTGTAATTGGTTTGTAATTAAATATGAATACATTATTTTGTTATAGAATTGGATTAATTTTATTATTTTACTTAAATAATTTGAATTTGTGTTATGGTTACAAAAAACTATACTGTCCTAAATACCTATGTAACCTTAATGTGGGAGAGCCATGCTTCGGCATGAATGGGCCGGCTCGACCAGAGTGATACCACGGTCTCACAGAAAACCGATGAGTGATCGGTGTCGTGTGAGTGAGGTTACCGGAGGCCCAATTACCCTCCCCTTCCCCAATCTCCCCAATTCCTGAATACCGGGACTCCAGCTCGACGTGCAGGAGTACGAACGGGGTGGTTTTTAGTCAGTAAGAGTCTGACACACACCCTCCCGCCTCACCCAGGCGGGAACCATCAAAGAATGATTTTATTCACTTAAAAAAGAAACCTTTATAATCGCGTCTTAAATCTCAGGCTAGACTATTGAATTGCCAATTACTCAATTAGGTACAGAAGCAGAATAATTTAATCTATTTTAATAACTTTACGCAATGTTGATTTATACTAGATTCGTGGCCAAAAGTTCTTAAATGCACAAACATAATTTTTATATCAAAGTAAATATCGGTAACCGAATATTCCATCGGCCGTTAACGAATGAATGCGAATGTAATTGCTTATGCAAAAACACGATCTTTAAATAAACAGAATGTTAATATCCCACATATTTATTTATTTAAACGGGCATGTTACAAAGTATTTTCGATTACCCTTTGTATTGACGACAAATAAACATGAAATAACATTACGCCTTTGGTTCCCTGGGATAGGCGGCGAGGCAGAGGCGCTTATGCTATTATGTATAACAGGACTGATCCGAGAATTTAATTTTAGCATGCTTTTCAGTCATCACTGGTATGTCAGTTAGTAATACTACAGACTTTGATGATGTGTCTTGTCTCTAGTAATAAATTCGTTGCCTATTCGAAATGGGATATTATTATAATTAATTATACACCAAAAAGTTTGTCTATATGACCCAAAATGAAACCGCTAAATTAAAAGACAAAATCCTACGTGAAGGAATAGTGTTACTATGCTTTATTTTATAGGTATAATGATATAGAAGGAAAATAAAAGACAAAGACTTGGTTGAGTTATAGTGAAATCGTGTGCAATAGTTTCGTGGGCTTCGTACGGACTTGTGGCATGCAAATGAAGCAATGTATTGTGTTTATAGCAGTGAATTTAGGCGGGCCTGGCTTTGCAAATAGAAGACGAATGAAATGAATGTACCTACTGTAATGCGTTTATTGTTGAAGTTAGAATACCTATGTACACTTTAAATTATTTGACAATTGCGGTAGGAGATTGTATTTTTGGCACATAAAGGTATCACAAATGTAATATTTTTGCAAAACATTTGATTGGAAATAATACAATTATTCATAATTCACTCGTAAGTATTCACACAAACTTACTACTTACCTCTATATACAGAATAAACATAAATATGAACTAAATAAAAACCTTTTCAATAAATCAGCAAGTAATCAAAACGAAAACATATCAGACATCGTCAACAATTTCTAAGAAAAAACCATCTTGAAAGAAGGGTAGACAAACGTAAGTACAACAGAGTAAGTAATGCTAAAAGGGTTACATTTTGCTCCTTTTGCGGTATAAAGCGAACGGAAACGCAGTTTCTCTTTGCGAATGTTTGTCGCCAGTAATGGCGGCTTAAAGCTCGTCATTCTAAGGCCTTCATTAGCATACACCTGAGCATTATTATAGTACTTATATCTCAAGGGGGATCTATTCGACGTAAATGTTAACGATTCGCAATAATGATCGTTTCGTCACCGCGGAATGGGGTGACTATATTAAGGAGTACCTACGCCACACTGATAACAGTATTGAAAGTGATGATATGTTTTATTTTGCTAGAAGGTTTATGATGACAATTTCTCACTGATGGTTTCTTATTTTCCTGTAAAATACGATATTTTGAGTTCTATAACTGTTTGTGTGATCAGATTGTTGTTCCGGGTCTTTATGTCTAGTTTATGTGAACTTGTATGTTTGTTAAAGCATCCACGACGCAGGAAAAGATCCTAGTGTGAGGCGAACCTAACGGGTAACCGGGGCTCCGGCTCGACGTGCAGGAGAAGGAACGAGGTGGTTTTTAGTCAGTAAGAGTCTGACACTCCCTCCCGCCTCACCCAGGCGGGAAGAGTCATTCGATGATTTTCCCCCCTTAAAAAAAGAAGTGTGGGGTAAAGTTTATATAAAAAGGTATCTTTTTTATATTGATATTTGCACGGATATTTGTGATTTCTTTTTAGAAACCAAGATATTTTGAGTTTGAGGAAACCACGATATTGTACCAGCAATCCTTCTAATTTCGTACAAAACGTAGAGTAGACTTAAATAAAAATCGCAAAATACTTGGGATTAAGTTCCTCTACTCAGGAAATACCTACGTATTACACCGAAGATGTTTATTAAAAACATGTGAAAGGTAAAATACCGTATATTTTATCGAAACATTTTACAAAGGAATTACACGGAGATTTACGTGTCTCAGTAGAATCAGTATGCGTACCGCATATTCGTGCTTTTAGAGGTGAACAAACGATAAGTGCTAAGAAAACGACTGCTGTGAAAATGTATATGAAAATCATGCGAATTTCTTGAAGGCTTTAAAAGTTTAAGGCTACCTTGAGAGTTATAAATGTTTCACCTCTTATCATTGAGAATAAACGTTCATGTTCGTAATATTATGCTAATAACTATTTTTATTTGTTTATGAAATTTTCTACGATTATTGCATGTACTTTGAATATAAGTCGTTAAGATAATTCTTGTCTTCTTATGTTTTAGTTGAGCTTAATGGATCTTTTTACTGAATACTTTGTGAAAATATTCAGATTTGCATTTATTTGAGAAAAACGAAAACATTAATGTAAATAGTTTCTATAACAGAACAAAATATTATTTAAATTGAAAGTAGTGAACTCTCTAGTGAATGCGCCACAAATTATCTAGAAAAGCATAATGAACAGTGCATTACGTGCATTCTCGTTGACAATTGCACCGCAACTGACGTCTGTTTAGTTCCAGTCCATAAATAACGTGGTGGGGATGGAGTTAGTCGCACGTGCTCCTAACTGCGCCATCTGTCGGTAGTTGCGTCGTTATGATGCCTCGTCTAAACAATTATTGTTCGGGAGAAAAATTCAAACAACAACCTAAAGTGTTCAGTTTTTACGTTTAAGTTAAATGACGAGTATTTGGTGGCGTACCGGTTTCTGACTTACTAAGTTTCGTAACTTAATAGATAGGCCCAGATGGAATAAAAGAGTGGACTGTATTTCTTGGTTTAATAGGTTTTCTTGAGTAGGCTATTAGTACAAATTAAATTCGCAATCCCGTCCGTTCTTGCTCGCGTTGTCGTCAGGTGTGTATGGAGGGCGCGCGAGCCGTCGCTGCCCCGCCACGCCGCCCGCTCCCCTCTGCTTGAGATGCATGTGTGTCTGCATGTGCGTGCGTGTTAACGTGGGCGTTAACATATTCCCGGGCGACCAAGGAAAGGCCAGCCCAGGTGATGATGATGTATGATATTTCATTATCAGTCCGATGGTACATCCAGTAATGGGCATATTTTATGAAAGGCACGTCTGATTGTCCCGGTCTTTACTTTGATGTCCGCCACTCGAGCCTCTCCGTCATGTCCCGGATACAGCTTCACGATACGTCCCAATGGCCACTGAGCCACCGGTAGCGCCTCATCCTTCACGATGATCAATGAGCCCTCTGTAAGCGCGCCGCGTGAACGTTGCCAGCGCGTTCGTTGATGCAACTGAGAAATGTATTCCTTATTAAAGCGTCTCCAAAAATGTTGGCGTAGAAGTTCGATTCGGTGATGACGCGGCAGCCGTGCCGTGTCGCAGTCGGACATCTGTGGATGAGGTAGAACAGTTAGAGTACGACCAATTAGAAGATGAAAGAGGTGTGAGAGGCCTTGAGTTGAGGATGCCTTCTATTTGAACTAGCAACGTGTACATTTCTTCATATGTGAGGTGTGCCATCCCTAGTACTCTTTTGAGATGATGTTTTACTGATTTAATGGTGCTTTCCCATAGGCCCCCGAAGTGGGGTGAATATGGAGGAATGAAATGAAAGTTTACACCTTGTTCTGCAGCGCAACTGTAAATTGACTCACCGTGATTTCTAAGAAAGTTGGTCACCACACGAGCGGCACCTACCAGATTTTTTCCATTGTCTGAATAAATATTATTTGGTTTACCTCTGCGAGAAATAAACCTGTTAATTGCCGCTATGTAAGACTCTGTCGTTAGATCTGTAACCAATTCCAAATGCACAGCTTTCACGGCAAAACAGATGAAAATGCAGATGTATGATTTAACAAGTACACTTCCACGCCCCTTACGGTTGTTGATCATAATTGGCCCTGCGTAGTCGACACCTACGTCACTGAATACAAAATTTGCATGCAATCTCTGTTCAGGTAATTGCCCCATGATAGGTGTTACAGTTTTACCTTTAAACCGTTTGCATGTAACACATGATTGTGTAGTTTTTCTAGCCAAGTTTCTACCGGAAATTGGCCAGAATGTTTGACGTATGTGAGATAATAGCAATTGTGGGCCAGCATGTAGAAGTGTGATGTGATATGTTGAGAATATGATTTGAGTTATGTAATGAGCTGAATGCAATAGGATAGGAAATTTTCTATCGTAATTGTATGGCGATTGAGCTAACCTTCCGCCCACACGAATGAGGTTATCATCCCCTATGAAAGGATTAAGTGAATTTAACTTATGTGATGTAGGTAATTGTTTGTTATGTAATAATAATTGATATTCCTCAAAAAATAAATCTAGTTGCACTAACTTCGCTAATTGGTATCTAGCTGAATTAAGTTCGCTAGTAGATAAGGGTATGACGTCACCTATGAGCATCTGTTGACGTTTTTTAATGTTGATTTGATTTAATTTTGATTGTTTGTGTTTGCAGTAATGAATGAACCGAAGAATGTAAGCTACGATTCGTGTAAGTTTGTTAAAATTAGAATATTTGTAAATGAATGAATTGTTATCAGTTACATGTTTGTGCGTGAGATGTGTTTGAGACCGGACTTCTGGAAGGTCAGATACGCTGAGATGCCCTGGTTGATGAGGCCAGCTGTGTTTATCATCATTCCTTAAAAAGTCAGGTCCTGAAAACCATAAAGGTGTATGGAGTAATTGTTGTGCATTGGTACATTTAGTAATAATATCAGCTGGG